TGGGGGAGTAACAATAAGATATTCATCACGCAAAGAAGTATATTACGTTTAAGATTTACTTTTCTTCAAGTATTGTATACATATAAAGAATTATGCAAGGATGGTGACATCCTATTGCTATCTGCAAATGTACTGTACATGCACCTGCATGAGTACATTAGTACTCTTATTCAGTGCTTGGGTTTTATATGGGGTGTTTAATGAATAAAAAGTTTACAACCTGTGAAATTATGAACCCTTACTGTATACTGTATGTATTTTAAATCTGCAATTCAATATAAAATATATTTCCATACACTACTTATGTTTACTCGTCGATCTCACCAAAGCCATCAATGTCTCCATAACTCACTATCAACAAACAACTTTGCATGACATCGGCCTACTGTCGGGGTTCAATGCAGATTAAAACAGCCTCGCATCTTTACTGCTGTTGCACAGGGGGGTTAACTGTTGCATTTCAGTAAATGTATAGCTGATGCTTTATAGAAAAATTTAGTAATTTGGTCTTTAATCAATAAAAACTGCTGCTGTAGTTTACTCTGTTCTTAGTGTTCAAGTATACACTAGTGTGTTAAAGTTCAGCTTCTTCCCTCTTTGTTCCCTGTAGTTAAAGGGTAAATACAGTATTTGTTCCCTCCTTGTTCCCTGTACTTACAGGGTAAATACCACATTTGAGGGTTGTAAATTAAAGTGAAGCATTGTTCCTCCATTGTTACCCCCTTGTTCCCTGTACTTACAGGGTATACCACATTTAAGGGTTGTAAATTAAAGTGAAGCATTGTTCCTCCATTGTTACCCCCTTGTTCCCTGTACTTACAGGGTAAATACCACATTTGAGGGTTGTAAATTAAAATGAAGCATTGTTCCTCCATTGTTACCCCCTTGTTCCCTGTTCTTACAGGATAAATACCACATTTGAGGGTTGCAAATTAAAGTGAAGCATTGTTCTTCCCTTGTTCCCTGTAGTTAAAGGGTAAATACAACATTTGTTCCCCCCTTGTTCCCTTTAGTTTACAATGTAAAATCTTGAAGGCAGTAAAATAAATATACAAACACACAATATATTTCTTCCTTACTTTGTAACCTTTATTTTAATAAATAAGCATTTTAAACACTTCATCTTAATCAAACATTGTCTTGTCTATCATTGCCTATACTCATTCATTTTCTCTTCGGCTTTGTCCTTTTGTTAATCTGGGGTCGCCACAGTGGAATGAACCACCAACTTATCCAGCATATGTTTTACGCAGTGGATGCCCTTCCAGCTGCAACCCATCTCTGGGAAACATCCATACACACCCATTCACACGCATACACTAGGGACAATTTAGTCTACCCAATTCACCTGTACGGCATTTCTTTGGACTGTGAGGGAAACCGGAGCACCCGGAGGAAACCTACGCGAACGCAGGGAGAACTCCACGCAGAAACGCCAATTGACCCAGCCGAGGCTCGAACCAGCAACCTTCTTGATGTGAGGAAACAGCACTACCTACTGTGCCACTGTGTTGCCACCCAGCTGCAACCCATCACTGGGAAACATCCATACACACTCATTCACACACATACGGACAATTTTAGCTTACCCAATGTCACCACATATTTTTGGACTTGTGGGAGCACCCGGAGGAAACCCACGCTAACATGGGGAGAACATGCAAACTCCACACAGAAATGCCAACTGACCCAACTGAGGCTCGAACCAGTGACCTTCTTGCTGTGAGGCGATTGTGCTACCCACTGCGCCTGCCTATACTCAAACAGCAAAATAACACATTATTTCCTTCCCCCTTTTTTCTGGCATCTCTTGCTTGGCTTCCTCTTCTGCTCTTCTCAGCTTCCACTGAGGACTCTGATGGTGAGTGGCTGATGAAATCCCATGGGTCTTGCTGCTCTGCATTTATATAAAATATATGAACAGACATAAAGGCTTTTAGTAAGCTATAGACATGTTTATTTTGCTGTTTAATGTGTGTGTGGTGGTTGTCCAACAATTTCACACTCTAAACATTTACAGATACCATACAGACACTATACATTACTATCAAACAAAAGTACTATCATCAGATCATATGGGAGATTGTGATCATTTATAGTGATAATAATTAAAGCGCAGAGGGGAAAAGGCTTAAATAGTAGGCTACAGCCCAGGTGAAAAAGAAGTGCTCTTAAATATATTACAAATGTACTTGAAATGTAGATAGTATGTTTAAAGCACAATTAGCACAAAAACCATACTTGCTTAAAGTGCATTCTAAATGTGTTGGTTTGCATTTTAATGTATTTATTATAAAGTATACTACAAGTACATTGGTAGAAGATATGTTTAATTGCACTTTTTAAAAATAGGCTAGAACTCAAGTATACTATTTATGCATTTTAATGTATTTACAGAGAACATACTAATTTTCTTAATTCTTTCTTAAAGTATGTTTTCTGTACTTTGTATAAGAACATTGTGAAATGGTGCCAATTTGAGTGTGTTTAAGGTATATGCATGTTTTTTTTTAATTGTTTTAGACATAAATAAACATTTTTTTAAATACTGCAAATGAACATGTGCTTCAGCCTGTATTTCAAAATATGTATGGGTTTTTTAAAATATATTTTGTAAAGTATAATAATTCACTCAAACCATGAATATAACATATTTTTCTAAAATGAAGATATATTTAAGTATTTAAGATATTTTTGTTAAGTTTATTAAGGCAAACCTACACACATTATAAAAGTAAAATATGAAAATGTAGCACTTCTTAATAGTGTGATGGGCTGAAGAATCACACGACAAAAGAATTAAAGTTTAGATCCCAGAGGGTGGATTTATTTACAAAGGTGCATGAGTGCAAGATCCAAAGGGGTGCTCCAGCGGGTGATGTTCTTTCATCCGTGGGGTGCTCAGTGTCTGTGAGATGGGTCTAGGAACCCGATCGGTCACCAACTGCTGTCTAGAGGAAAGAAAGGGAGAATAAGTGTTACTGCTCTGTTTCCTTCGTATGCTTCCCCCTTTCTGGTTCTTTTGGTGAGGCTTATGTAGCCGGTCTTGGATGAGTTGCAGCTGGTGCTGATTAGTTGGGAATGAGAGGGCCCAGGTGTTCCTCGTTCCTCTCCAGGACGATGCTGATAGCTTCATGGGATGCTTGTCACACTCCCCCCCCCTAAGTGGCGTCCTGGTCCTGTGGATGATATGAGACAATAGGGGAGAATTAAGGGGTGGGTGGGGAGTGACCCCTGCCATGGGATGGGAGTGGGCCAGTTCCAGTATTGCTTCAGTCTTGGATCGGGGTACGACCAGCAGTAGTTTTTCCTCCCCCCTCCGCTGTGCGACCCAGTAAAGCAGGCCATTCTGGACAGCAAAGTATGGGAGAGGGTGGGGACCAGGCTGACTGTCTTTTCCCTCTATGACTCGGACTTGGGTCCAGCAATGTTTCAACCTATCGTCTCCCTGTTGTTCCTTAGCAAATGAGCCCCCTCCTGTGACCTGTTGAAAGACATCATAAAACAGGTTAGTATTATGAGAGGGGGACTCACCATCTCTCCCGCTGTCTGATGCCAGAAGGACGGGTCGCTGACGAGGTCTTCGGTTGGGCTTTTTACGGTGACGGCTCCCTCTGGGGCTGGCAGGTTGGGAAGCTGCGGCTAACAGGCGCTCTAAACCTGGCCAGTCTCTCCCAAGGAGCACAGGAACTGGTAGATCTCTCACCACTCCCACCTCGACTGGCCAGGTATCAGGGCCGGCTGAAATGGTTACATGACGGGCAGGGACCTGACGGGTGTCCCCGTGGACACAGGTGATAGGCAGGAAGGTCTTTGACCCAGTCCGTGGGGCCAAAATCCGTGCGTGTACCAGACTAACCGCACTACCAGAGTCGAGTAGGGCCCGGTATGGTTTTCCGTTGACCTTGACATCCGCTTCTGGGGCTCCTTCGGGTAGGTCTCTGTGTACAATGCAGCCTGCCAGCCAGGTCCGTGAGGGGGGTGTTGAAACCTCTGTTGGCATGGGCTCCTCCCGTGGAGAGGGAATCGTCGGCCTGCTCACCGGTCGTTGAGGGTCCTCTGGCGCTCGTCGCTCCTGGACCACCCTCCGGGGAAAAGGCGGCGCTCTCTCCCCTCCTTCCCGATGTAGGGTCGCATCCGCCAGTTCAATCGCCTCAATGAGCTCCAGGGTGGTTGAGGGGTTTCTCATTCCGACTACTCGTCGATGGGATCGGGGAAGAGCCCGGAGCAATTTGTCGATGACCACCCGTTCCGCTACCTGACTCGGCGTTGGGTCTTCCGCCAAGAGCCAATGTCTCGCAAGTCGTGTGAGACCCGCTGCTTGGGCACGGACCGGTAGATGGGGCTTATATGTCCACTCAAAAAACTGTTGAGCTGCACATGTGGATGACAGTCCCATATGGGCCAGGATTTCCCGTTTTAGGTCCTGGTAAGTGGTAGCTGCACCATCGGGGAGAGAAAAGTAGGTGCGCTGGGCGTCACCAGTCAGCAGGGGAGCCAGGACCTGCGGCCAGTCGTCGACATTCCACCCTTCATTCGTAGCAGTGGTTTCAAACATTTGTAAATAAGATTCAATATCATCGTGAGGGGTTAGCTTTGGAAGGAGTTGAGTGGCTCGGGCACGAGGGTCTGGTAGCGGAACACGTTGTGCAGCAGCCAGACGCAGGGCAAAAAGTTCTTGCTCCGTCTGGTCCTGACGAGCTGCCAGATGCTCGGCCACTTGCTGCTGGCGGATGCTGACCTCGGTGAGTCGCTGGAGAAGTTCATCCATCCTGTAGGGGGAGTGAGCGCTCGCCTGCACACAAAAGGAAGAGAAAAAAAAAAAATAAATAAATAAAAGTTTTTTTTTTTTTTTTTTTTTTTTTTTTTTTTTTTTTTTTTTTTTTTTTTTTTTTTTTTTTTTAAATAGATGAGTGGGAGTCTGGGTGTCGGTGATTCTTCACTCTTCTGCCCGCATTCTCCACCAGTGTGATGGGCTGAAGAATCACACGACAAAAGAATTAAAGTTTAGATCCCAGAGGGTGGATTTATTTACAAAGGTGCATGAGTGCAAGATCCAAAGGGGTGCTCCAGCGGGTGATGTTCTTTCATCCGTGGGGTGCTCAGTGTCTGTGAGATGGGTCTAGGAACCCGATCGGTCACCAACTGCTGTCTAGAGGAAAGAAAGGGAGAATAAGTGTTACTGCTCTGTTTCCTTCGTATGCTTCCCCCTTTCTGGTTCTTTTGGTGAGGCTTATGTAGCCGGTCTTGGATGAGTTGCAGCTGGTGCTGATTAGTTGGGAATGAGAGGGCCCAGGTGTTCCTCGTTCCTCTCCAGGACGATGCTGATAGCTTCATGGGATGCTTGTCACAATATATTAAGCTATTTATGTTTAACAACGAAACTACAATATATATGTAGTTATGTGTGTACTTGGAAAAATAGATAACCTTTTTTGCACTACAAATATTTACTTTGCTCAGAAAATATGTTTGCCAAAAATTGCTCTTAAAGCAATATAATTTCATATTACATCTTCCAATACTTCGTAGTGCATCACTATATTGTCATTTTAAAATAATCCACTTTTAAAACCCAGATTTACATAAGGTACACCTATAACAAAACAAATTACAAAAAAATAAAACAACTGATAAAAGTTTCAGTTATATACTGTACCAGCTGAGCATATGTCATAAACATCCATAATTAAAAGCTCAATGGCTAAAATAAAATATATATTTTATATTAAAATATAAAAAATCACTCCACAAAAGGATGTACATTTGCAAATCACTAGTTAAAGCATTTTGAATCAATCACTTCAGACTCTTTCGATATTATGTGGCAAATGTATGTGACATACATTTTCTCTGTAAGGTCTACCAGAATGTTGCGTTTAATTCTGTTTGACCAATCAGAGCCAAGCTTTTCAAATCGAAACATAAAATTGTCCAATCCCACGCAGCCATAGAAAGGTAAGCTTATTGAGCGCGATCAACAAGTTCATATTTCCCATTAACAGAAGACAGATCGTTTCCGAGGTTCCTGAAATTTTTATTGTTTTATTTCCCAGACTCAAATCTTGTAAAGGTAGACAACACCGATATAATAACACAAAAACATTGACGACAAGAAAAACCTGGTCAGATCGCGCGAACAACTGGACTGTGAAGAGGATTACGTTAGTCAAAGCAGGCACGGGGCACAAAATAAACTGGCAGCGAAAATACTTCCTGGTGGTAAGTTTATTCTCAAGTTAACTAACTTATGTTGTTCACTTTGGCTTTAGAAAATATTTTTCAACGTGGATAGTACATAAGTGTGTATTCCCTTCAGCATATAACGATGGTTGCTCAATAAGCGGTGGTGGGAGTAACGAATTACAACTACTCACGTTACTGTAATTAAGTAAATTTTTTTGGTAATTGTACTTTCATGAGTAGAATTTTAAGCCTGTAATTTTTCTTGTACTTGAGTACAAATTAAGCCGAGTAATCTACTTCGTTACTTTTAAAATCACAATTCGTTACAGAGTACTGTAAATAAATTAATATTTCAACCACGCACTGACCAGCATTTCGGTAGCCAATAAAAAAAGCTCATCTTAACGGACCAATGAAAAGGCTGGTACATTATTTGAACCGAAAAACAAGTTCAGGCTACTGCAGATTTACGTGAACTGACCGTCATCATCATACAGTCACAAAGTTATCAATTGACATATGGAGATTTAAGACAGAAGAAATGAGGAAGAAATAGCAGAGGATGAATGGCCATGGCCACGCCCCGGAGGAGCTGCTCACCTACAGGTACATAGGGAAGTGGACAGTTGTGCTGATGCAGTGTGAGCTATGTTATCATCTAAAAATGATAATTAAATGTATGCTGTGTCATCCGGCTTACACAGGGTTTCCGTGGGGTCTTAAAATGTCTAAAATATAAACATCTAAATTTTAGGCCTAAAAGGTCTTAAATTCGCTGTACTAGGTCGCTGTTCTAAATATTTGCACAGGTCTTTTCCGATGTCCATGTAACGCTACTAAATTATTTTTTGTTGTTGCTTGGTTTCGTGGTGGTGTAGTTCTTTATTTCACTAGTCCTAATGTAATTTGCGGTATTAAAACTACAAACAAGACCAGCATGCAATAGCTCAGGGCGCGCGGCGAATGTGACATCATCGCAGTGTTTGCAAAGGTTCACTTTGGATTCGCGCGACAGGATTTTGGGTGAACAGTTCGCGCTGCGCTGCGTTTGATTTGAGTTGAATATGAAACACTGAAGAGATTTTGTCTGAAACAATACGACTGTACAGACATCTTAACGATCCGACCATGCGTGATCACCATAGAGATAACCAAATGACCAATAATTCTTGGCTAGAAATAGCAACAGCCATGGAAAGGAAGTGTTTTGTTTAAAAGTGTGCAAAAACCTGGGGGATAAGTTTGTTACAATAAAAAAGAAGCCATGGCAAAAGTGGAGACCCAGGTGGTTTTAATATTACAGAATATGTTTTCCCACCATTTATAGGTTTTTCACAGATGTATATTTTTGAAGTTAAAGTAATGTAACAAAAAATAAGAAACAAATTATATTTTTGATAACTGGAAAAGAATATATGAACCCATCGGCTTACAGTATAGTGATGCCCAATTTCTAGGCTTTATTGGTGATAATGGACCGGATTGTTGGCCCATTATTGCCTTTTCAGCTCACAAGTAGAGGACAGAAACTAGCCAGAAAATAATGTCTCAATTGTTGAGTGGGCAAAATAATTAAAAGTTTTTTTTTGCTATTATTCTTGCCAGAATAAAAAAATATAATTGTAGAGTAACCTATGCTCTGTTGTCAGTGATATTTAACTTTAATAGGTAGAACTGTCCGAGATATAAACAAAATTGAGTGATGCATCAAAGTTTGATTTAAAAAAATCTTCAATAGTTATAAAACTTTATAATTCATTCATTTTCTTTTTGGCTTAGTTCCTTTATTAATCTGGGGTCGCCACAGTGAAATGAACCGCCAATTTATCCAGCATATGTTTTACACAGCAGATGCCTTTCCAGCTGCAACCCATTCTCATTTACAACAACAGACAATTTAGCTTACCTAATTCACCTAAAATGCATGTGTTTGGACTGTGGGGAAAACCGGAGCATCTTGAGCAAACCCACGCAAACGCGGGGAGAACATGCAAACTCCACACAAAAATGCCAACTGACCCAGCCGAGGCTCAAACCAGCGACCTTTTTGTTTTGAGTCGAGAGCGCTACCCACTGCCCCACCCCGTCACCCAACTTTGTAATAATAATAAATTATATAAATAATAAAAAATTATAATTTTTAAAATTTTGAACAGTATTAATGATATGACGTAGTTCCGGAAATTTTGTACTTCTTTGTTTATCCGTCTGACTTTACAGTGGATTTCTTTTGACTGGTCCCTGATGTTTTAAAGAATATCACAACGATGAATGCGCTAAGTATTAAAGCCTCGTGCATTTCGTAAAGTGCGCACAGTCAGCGGAGCTGTAAAATGCGGAGCCAGGTGAAAGTAAAAATCAGCCTCAAAATGTTTGTTTCTTTTTTTTCCTGTACTTCAATGGTGCATCTAACTTGTCTTCAATACTGTTCAATTTAAATAATTTTATTTTACCAACACTTTTGTGTTTTTGCATTTTCTCTTGCGTGCTTTTGTTATTGCGATATAGGTCTTAAATGTAATAATTTATGGTCTTAAAGAGGTCTTAAAAAGTCTTAAATTTGACATTATGATATCTGCAGAAACCCTGTTACAAGACTTCAGTCTATAATCTGAAAAAAAAAAAAACATTATGGTAAGAAGACATATAACTTAATTTGTGTGATGTTTAATTTACTAATAATATGTTTAGGCACTAGGCAGTGTTGTTCTGTGGTTTCTGACGGTTCAGTTCGCGAATTAGGTAATTAGCAAAGTTTCTAAGAAGTGTTATTTCTAATTAAATCATCTATTGATCGAATCTTTAAATGTGTTATGTAAAATGTGTTTTACTGCCTGGATCTTGTCTGACTCCGCATTTATGGATAATTCCACCAATTCCGCCAGCTAAAAAGTAATTTGTAATTTTGTAATTTGGGTAGTTTTTACGAGTAATTTGTAATTTTACTTGAGTACTTTTTAACACCAGTACTTTTACTTGTAATTGAGTACAATTTCAGCAATGTAACAGTACTTGTAATTGAGTACAATTTTTTGTACTCTTACCACCACTGTCAATAAGGAACAACTTTTTCCAACGTATTTGAAGACTGAATAATGGTTAATGTTATTACAGTGTGCTGACCTTGTAACGTGCTTGTGATTCGATCTAATACAGTATAATGAATAGCTCACTCCAAACAAATTCTGGATAAGCATTTAATATAGACAGCTGTTTTAATGGTTACAATATTAAATCATAAAAAGCTGATTAATGGAATTGTATTTTCTCTTTTTTTGCAAACTAATTCAATGTATTTTTTACTAAAGTATATTACTATATGAACTCCTAACTTCTCTTAATCATTAACTTCCATTGTTTGGACAAATTTATAGTATGAATATAATAAATATATCTACTTATAAGCATTGTGCTTATAAGAATGATTTACTGTGTGTGTGTGTGTATACATTATATATATATATTTTCTTTCTCAGTGTAAGAGAATTTAATTTTAATTTTCTTTCTCAGTGTAAGAGAATTTAATTAATTGCCATTCTATTCATTTAAAATGTGAGAATATAATGTGAGAACACAAAAAATAAACATACATATATAATAGGCTGACTGAAAGCAGGTAAATGCATTTCTTGCTGTTAGCTGTGTTAATACGTATATATGTTAATACTTATTATGCACTTTGATCTCTGACTAACAAGTTACCAGTGTCCAGTAGGTGGCACTTCAAAACAAGCTTCTGCAGCACTGTCAATGCTGCAGACAATTTCTTGATTTGTTGATTTGGACAATTTTAATGATTCCCACTGTAAATGCTTCAGAACTGACTACTGTATTACTCTAGCCAATTACTATAGACAAGAAAAGTAGTGACTGCAGGTAAAAGGTTGCAGGAGTTACGAGTAAAAGTACAGATACAGGTTATAAACATTTACTTAAATAAAAGCCCAATTAAAAAATAAATAAATAAAGTACAAGTATAAAAAGAACAACTTAATTACAGTAAATCTGAGTATTTGTAATAGTCACTAAAAACCACACTGAAATTTTTCAGTTTTGGATGGTCAGGAATGGTGTTAAATCTTTATTATGTAAATGTTTTAGGTTGCAAGTACTTTTCAAAGTTCAGCTATGTTTGCAATGGGGAAACAACTTAAAAGAGACCTCAAGAAGCGATACAAATAAAGAAAAAAACAGCTCCTGTAATCTGAGATTGACTTGTTTCAAAACAGAGTTGAGAAGATCAAGGAAAAGAACCGTAAGTAATGTTTTAGTACTAAGTAATTTCAAAGGCACTCAAAAGGTTTGAAAATGTTTTCTGGTCTTGTGGAGAACTGTTGTATATAAATATTAACTTGTTAAACGTGACTGTTTCATAATACAACAGTAATACTAAAATAAAGTGGTATGGTAGAGCCTCTTCTAACCTTCTATCTGTTTAAACAAATACAGGTGGCAATGGATAGTGACAACAAGAAAATGATGGAGACAAGGAATTGGAGAACAGCCTTTTGCAAAGGAAGTCTCCACAGAAAAACTTCTGTAGAGCTTGATGACGACATAGTCAAAGCTTTGAAAGGTAACTTAAGGCCATCATGTAGATTAAAAGTAATAGTTGTGGAAAAGTTGTGGATCTGTAATGACAGCTATGTTACAGTAGCATGCAATTTTTATTCAAGGTTTTTTCATCATGTTTTGCACATGAACAATATACAAATGTTTGACATTTTATATTCAGCTTTTTCCTATAATTATATTTCCTATATTTTTCCTATAATTAAGTGCTTCTGCTAACAACCTGCAGCTTTCACAAGGTAAGTGCTATTTTAGAACAAGAAAATACATACTATATAAAAGTTTTAAAATTAAAAATTAAGATTTAAATTTAAACATAGAGAAAACAGGGCAGCATGGTGGCTATGTGGTCTCTGTGGTTAGCACTGTCACCTCGCAGCAAGAAGGTAACTGGTTTGAGTCCCAGCTAGGTCAGTTGATTTGTTAATTTGCTGTAGCATATGAGAGTGTGTGTGAATGCAAGAGTGTATGGGGGTTTCCCAGTACTCGGTTGTAGCCGGAATTAATCATTTAATTATTATTACAATTTTGTAGGCCTTCCTGGAATTATACATTGTGTGTGCATGAGAAGAAGTTAATCTTACAACAGTTCAAGCCTGAGTTCTAGTGAATTGTCTCCTTCTGCTTCATCAGAAAGGGTAAGACATGATCTTATGACAATATTTTTTTAAGCTGCCTTTTTGTGTATTCATGACCACCTACATTTAGTACAATAACATAGTTATCACTTGTAATCAGGTATAAATAATTTTATAGTACTCTTGCTTGTATTTCATTCAATTTAGATGGTGCTTGCCCATTTGGACATTACAGTGTCAAAGAGGATGTATGATGTATAAGAGTGAATAAATCAAGAGTTTCACTTTTCACCCAAGAATTGGCCACATTTTATTTTTTTTGGTAAAGAAACTCTTAGGGTGCTTTCACATCTGTAGTTCGCTTCATTTGGTCCGGACCAAGGGTAATAAATGATACATTGTTGCATTCTCTGCTGTCTTTGGGTCGTTTTCACACCACACTGCTGGCTTTGGTCAGTTAAAACGAACCAAAATGCAGTCATCTGACAAAATCCACATCTCTCATTGGCCAGATGTTGTTGAACATATTTCCTAAACTGCTTATTGATTGGTCAGAATTCACATGTGGGAAAATGCCAGTGAACTGCCGCAGGTAAACAAAACCTTTTACTCTGGAGGGACGACTGCGCTGGCTAATTGTATCACTGCTTTAGACAAACTATACATTACGAAAATGAAGCGCGGCCGCGGCTGGAAAACAGTGTTTAATGCATCGCTCGTCACTTCAGGAGGAGGCGTGAATTAATTTAGCTAAACTGCGACATGGTCGTCGTGCGTAAATATTACCAACGATCCATCAGGTAATGTTTTCCCCCCTCTCTCTCTCTCTGTTGGTAAAGCGCTGTCAACAAATATTTTTCCTCCATATCCCATAATGCACAGCGCATCGGCCTACGGCAGCTGAATGGGGTATATCCAGAAGCATGCTAATAGGACTTTTAATTTGCCAGTAATCTGGGTTAAGCGCTTCCGGCGAATTGAATGCCAATGCAAAATCCAGTGCGTTTAAGGTCTGTTTTCTTTAAAAATCAGCGATCTCCACTAGCTAAGTGATATCCAATTTAAAGTGGGTCTCAGATTGTACAAGAAGCAGTGCATTAAATTGCATTTCCCCCGCCATATCTTTATAATATGAGCATTTATTTTACCCCAGTATATTCAATGGAGCTTCTGCGTTAGCCTGCCGATTCTGACGGGCGCGTGCGAGTAAACAGCTTTTTGTCTCGTTTTACGCTCGAGCAACCAAATAAATGCTAAAGTTTATTTAACTGAATGTATTTTAATGACATTACAACATTGATGCTGTATAAGGAACCGTATAAAATGGAAAAAGTTCACAATAACAGGTCACCAGAAGTGTATCAGCATGGGAACAGCACTAGCTCGGCATACCCTATTAGTCCAAAACGCGCATTACTTTTTGTGGTTGGACCTGTTTTAGTACGGATCATATTCTCACCACAAATGAACAGCTCCAGGGTTCGTTTGAAAGCGTACCAAGACCACCTCTTCAAGCAGGTCTCGGTACGCTTATTTGGTCCGCTTTTGGTGCGTACTCGAGTACAATTGCTGCATTCTCACCTGCCCAAATGAACCGTACCAAAAGGGAAAACGAACTCTAGTGCGATTCAATCAAACTAAATAAGGCAGGTGTGAAACCACCCTTAAAACTCATCTTAAGATGCACCCTTACGGGAAAATCTGGCAATGAAACCTGTAAGGACTAGTTGGACCCTCACAAGGTCAATAGGTATGTTTTAGTCCTATACATGATCATTTTTTAAATGTTTTTTTTTTATTGTCAAGGGGAACTGAATAAAGCAAAATAATAGTATTCACTAAAATAACTTTTAGTAATTTTGTTTTACATTATTTGACAGTACATGCAATTTTTATATTAGAAAATAGCTTTTATATTTAACAATACTTTTCTCTTTCCACAGACACTGTAAAAAAATTCCTAAACACCATAGTGTCTGAGGTGTGATCTCTCATCGCAGAAAATGCGACAAAAATTTGGTTTAATGTGTTTTGTTACGCATGTTTTTTCCTGTTTGATTGCACTTTACTTCACACTGTTGTACATTGTTAATTGTCAATTGAAAAAGTTGAAAATTAAAGTTTTTAAGCATTCAAAAGCCGTGCATTTATTTGTGTTTTTAATGTACTTTTACAACATATTTGTAATAGAATTTAAATACATTATTCTGAATGATGTTGTTAATTGTTGAAATAAAGTAGGTCTTGTAGTACTCTGCAAATGTATAGAAAGTATAGTAATAACACAATGTAAAATGTTTATTGTAAAGCTTAAAATATTCTTCTAATATGCTTAAAATATACTTTAACTAGTTTTAAATTGCACTTTAGGTGTGCTTAAATTATACTTTATCACAACTTAAAGTATACTTCAACTGGGCTTATACTATACTTTAATGCACTGCAGCTGGGCTGAAAATACACTTTATCTAAACTTAAAATACACTTTAACTGTGTTTTAAATATACTTTAACTGTATTTCAAGTACATAATTTAAATGTACTTTAAATAAAATACACTTTTAAAAGTACACTTTAATTGTACTCAAAGTATGTCCATTTTAACACAACTAAGTATGTTACAACATATTTTAAGTAGCTTAAAGTTAATCTTAAGTATATATAAAGTAACAATAAATATGCTTGAAGTTGTTCCAAAATAACACACTTAATATACACTTAGTATAGTACAATTAAAGTATGATAAGTATGTCTAAAAAAGTACAACTTAAGTACACTTTCTTTTCACCTGGGTGTGCTTAAGTCCTAGGCTAATGTTACTAGTAGGTCGGGGTGTGGGGGGGATATTCATATATCAAACTGGCATGCTACAGAAAATATCAATTTACATTTCCAAACATTATTTTTGTCATTAACTTAGTCTGCACAGTGAGTATGACAGACAACAGCCACAGAGATCTGACCTGATCATCATCCAGTCTGTCTGGAATGACATGAAAAACTAAATCCAGAGGAACTTTGGCAACATCCCTAAGATGTGCAAAGTAAACGACAGTAAACATTGGTAAATATTCGCTGCTGGCCGTTTAGATTCGGCCATGAACTAACGTTATGTTACGCTAAAACAAATGAAACAAAATAAATATAATCTGGTTAATGCACAATTTCTAATCGTAACAATAGCCATATTTACTAACAACGATTTACTCACATGTGTTACATGGTTACGAGATGGAGCAACTCCAAACGTCCCAAAAGTCTGAGCAAAACCTCGTGGCGTGCTGCTCCTTCTTCTTCTTCTTTTTCGTTTAATGGCGGGTGGCAAACCAGCTTGAGGTGCATTACCGCCACCTACTGTGTTGGAGTGTGAGACTTCAATGAGTGGAAGGCTTACTACTTATTCTCTAAAAAAAAATAATAATAAAATAAAATAAAATAAAAAATATAAAAAAAATAAACCCTTTTTTTTGTCAATAAAACACAAACCAAAAACCTATTTTAAATCCTTTCATAGTAAATTAATAATAATGAACAATATTCATAATAAAAATCTAAATAAACTAAATAACCAAATTATAATTCTTTCCGATTAAATCCTGTAAAACAAACCTGTACTCCTCAAGAATTTTAGCAGATAATCATATACCTTAGTTTCTTTCTGAGCATTTTTAAAAATGTTAGTGATTGTAATGTCAGTCATGTCCAAATCTCTTAGTTTTATTTTAAACTGGTCCCTCTCTCTTTTATATTTTGTGCACTTGATTAATACATGTTCTATGGTTTCGATCTGTCCACAATGTCTGCAGCATTCTGTTTCCCTTTTCCCTATGTTAAATAGTGAACTGTTTAAATTGGAATGACCTATACGAAGTCTGGATATGACTGTGTCTTCCTTCCTGTTCCCATATACTTTCCTTTCTTTTCCCACTTTATTTTGTATATTATACAGATGTCTTCCTTTTGATTCTGAATCCCAGTCCTCTTGCCAAAGATTATTTACTGATTTATTTATAAAATGTTTTATTTCTGTTTTAGATAGCGGGATCTCAATATCCACCTCATCTTTCCCCAATGCTGTTTTTGCCATCTTATCTACTATTTCATTTCCTTCTACTCCTACATGAGCAGGGATCCATAAAAATTTTTACTGTTACTCCTATTTGGTTTATTTTATTTATGTTTTGAAATATTTCATTTAGTAGATCCTGTCGTGTTTCTGAGGTCCCCATATTCAAACAATGTAGTGCTGAGTATGAATCAGAGCACACCACTACTCTTAATGGCTGATTTTGTTCCACCCACTGTATTGTGGCGTGCTGCTGCAGTTTGATTCGGATCTTTAGAGGCTTCTTGATTCACAACTTGTTTGAATCAGCGAATCAGTAGGCGCGAACCTGAAGTAGTGATGGGACGTTGAGCGCCGAGGCTTCGGAGCATGTATCAAAAAAACAGGCTCGTTTGACCTGGCCAAAATCTGCGCAGAATCGATCACCGGTGATCACCGCAAGATGCATGCCGGTTAGTAATGTGTCCGCCTTGCCTTCGCCTCGCTCTGATGTCACGCTGACGAGCGCCAAAAAACTCTCGCGATCGCGAGGCGGGTACCTCGGATAGAGAAGTCGGCCGCAGTTGCTCTCAAAAGACTGCGCTACCAAAAGCATGATGGGAAACGACTGGCTGACGACACAGCTGAATGCTGATTGGATGAGACTGACACATTACACTTTATTATCTTGTTTTACTAAGGTTTATACCTGGATTTGTTGAATACCTTTTTTGTATTTTCGTTGATAATTAAAGAAAGTCATAAAGAGCGTTACATATGGTTATTAATTTAGATTTACACGCAAACAAAAACAAAACACATCTTTGTAAAACATAACGTGACCGTAATATAACTAAATGTTACTTATAAATCATTAGGATGTGTGTGTGCTGTATTTTATTTCTCTCTCAGTTTTAAGTCCTGTTTGTTGTCATTTTCACTTTTTGTATGTTTGTGTGAATTTTGTATTGTAATTTTTATGCAGCGTTATTCAATGAAAGTCAATCCAATATATACATATATTCAGACATACAAAGGTAATCAGACTGTTTTGTCATTATGCCTCATCTTTGTGTGGTTTCATATGAGAAGTGAAAAGGGTGTAGTAAACAAGACACACACACACACACACACACATGTATATGTATGTGAAGTCAAAAGTCATGTTTAATAGACCAAGAATATTTTCACAGTTTTTCCTACAGTCTAATAGTTTTTATTCTGGAGAAAGTCTTGGGCTGTTTATTTTAGTCTGGCTGGATTAATATCAGTTTATATAGACCTAATAAGCTTGTCAATATAATTAACCCCCTAAGACTTTATTTGTCAAACAAACATTTGTCATGACCCGTCACTCAAAAGCATCTATGGCTACTTCATTTATAATGTAGCCAAATTAGGTTTCTTGAAAGCTTTCTTGCTGTATAAGCTGTTTATTTTGTTATTCTTTTAACGTTTGTTGAATATACAGAATTATATTTTAAATACACCCTTTTAGTTAATGAGCTGTTCATCTGTAATTCTGAACCATTTTTTTGTAAAAACAGTGATATTTCTATTGCATCCACTCCCATATTAAAAATACTATAGTAATGTATACTGTAGTGCTTTTGAACCATGTTATAAAATAGCCTATTTAAATTGTATAGTTGCTCTGGTATCACAACAACTATAAACATAACCCAATACTGAAAAAAACATATTTAAAATGCAATAATATTTACTATAAATCACCATAGTATTTTTTCATGAGGTCATTCGTCTGCGATAAAAAACGCGAACGAGATCTCCGCCACTGGTGTCGTTTCCAGGTGCCTAAACAGCGAGATTCGGCGGTGTCCGACTTCTGATGTAATTTTTGAGCCCTCCTCTTACTGCGCATTTTGGCCCCAACGGCCTTCCATATCGGAGCGCTGTCGCGGTACTTTGATGCCACATGTGACAGTCACGTGGCGTCGGCGCAGCATCAATCCGGACAAGATTTCTAACCAGCATGCACCGCTTTAAGACAGATTTCGATCGATTTGATTCACACCTACTGATTCAACTCTCCGTCCTCCATTCCCAGAATTTTCTGTTCACGGCAGTACAAGGACGGCAGCGCGAGGTAAATAAAACAAGTAGTTTTATGACGTTATGTACATAGAAGTGTTTGTTTAGGTTTTTGTTTCTATCTGATGTTTGTACCTATTTTTAACATTTACACCCTTTTCACAATACTGTTATGACACGTTTAATGATCATCAGCATCTAAAATCCTTGAGTTTTTATATAATTTTTTTTTATAAAATAACATTTGTTTGTATTTACATATGTATTATATAATGTGATTACATGTGCGAGGTGTTTCAAACAGTGTCTATGGACATGAGTAAATTAGATGTTATTCTCTCTTCTTGCTGGCGTTATCAGTTTCACAATATTTTTTTTCCTTTTTCTAATTGTCGAGACAACACCGTCATAAAGTTTTCATTTTATTTGAGCAAAGAAGATTGTAAAAAAATGTGTTGTACTTTCCCATTCACTGCACTGAAATGTAAAAAGGGTCCATAACATTACATCAACCATATTTTGTTATCTTTCACTTTATTTAGGACTAATGATGGGTTAAGACATGTACTTAATCAAAAACTAACCTTAGGGGTAGTTCACCCAAACGTTACATTTACTTACCATTTAATGAGTAACACAGAATTTAAATATGTACACTGAAATCAAATAATCTTTACTTCAAAGTCTATACTGCCTGCACATATATTTAAGCCTTTTCCCCTCTGCACTTTAATTATTATCACTATAAATGATCACAATCTCCCATATGATCTGATGATAGTATTTTTGTTTGATAGTAATGTATAGTGTCTGTATGGTATTTGTAAATGTTTAGAGTGTGAAATTGTTGGACAACCACCACACACACATTAAACAGCAAAATAAACATGTCTATAGCTTACTAAAAGCCTTTATGTCTGTTTATATATTTTATATAAATGCAGAGCAGCAAGACCCATGGGATTTCATCAGCCACTCACCATCAGAGTCCTCAGTGGAAGCTGAGAAGAGCAGAAGAGGAAGCCAAGCAAGAGATGCCAGAAAAAAGGGGGAAGGAAATAATGTGTTATTTTGCTGTTTGAGTATAGGCAGGCGCAGTAGGTAGCACAATCGCCTCACAGCAAGAAGGTCACTGGTTCGAGCCTCGGTTGGGTCAGTTGGCATTACTGTGTGGAGTTTGCATGTTCTCCCCATGTTAGCGTGGGTTTCCTCCGGGTGCTCCCACAAGTCCAAAAATATGTGGTGACATTGGGTAAGCTAAAATTGTCCGTATGTGTGTGAATGAGTGTGTATGGATGTTTCCCAGTGATGGGTTGCAGCTGGGTGGCAACACAGTGGCACAGTAGGTAGTGCTGTTTCCTCACATCAAGAAGGTTGCTGGTTCGAGCCTCGGCTGGGTCAATTGGCGTTTCTGCGTGGAGTTCTCCCTGCGTTCGCGTAGGTTTCCTCCGGGTGCTCCGGTTTCCCTCACAGTCCAAAGAAATGCCGTACAGGTGAATTGGGTAGACTAAATTGTCCCTAGTGTATGCGTGTGAATGGGTGTGTATGGATGTTTCCCAGAGATGGGTTGCAGCTGGAAGGGCATCCACTGCGTAAAACATATGCTGGATAAGTTGGTGGTTCATTCCACTGTGGCGACCCCAGATTAACAAAAGGACAAAGCCGAAGAGAAAATGAATGAGTATAGGCAATGATAGACAAGACAATGTTTGATTAAGATGAAGTGTTTAAAATGCTTATTTATTAAAATAAAGGTTACAAAGTAAGGAAGAAATATATTGTGTGTTTGTATATTTATTTTACTGCCTTCAAGATTTTACATTGTAAACTAAAGGGAACAAGGGGGGAACAAATGTTGTATTTACCCTTTAACTACAGGGAACAAGGGAAGAACAATGCTTCACTTTAATTTGCAACCCTCAAATGTGGTATTTATCCTGTAAGTACAGGGAACAAGGGGGTAACAATGGAGGAACAATGCTTCATTTTAATTTACAACCCTCAAATGTGGTATTTACCCTGTAAGTACAGGGAACAAGGGGGTAACAATGGAGGAACAATGCTTCACTTTAATTTACAACCCTTAAATGTGGTATACCCTGTAAGTACAGGGAACAAGGGGGTAACAATGGAGGAACAATGCTTCACTTTAATTTACAACCCTCAAATGTGGTATTTACCCTGTAAGTACAGGGAACAAGGAGGGAACAAATACTGTATTTACCCTTTAACTACAGGGAACAAAGAGGGAAGAAGCTGAACTTTAACACACTAGTGTATACTTGAACACTAAGAACAGAGTAAACTACAGCAGCAGTTTTTATTGATTAAAGACCAAATTACTAAATTTTTCTATAAAGCATCAGCTATACATTTACTGAAATGCAACAGTTAACCCCCCTGTGCAACAGCAGTAAAGATGCGAGGCTGTTTTAATCTGCATTGAACCCCGACAGTAGGCCGATGTCATGCAAAGTTGTTTGTTGATAGTGAGTTATGGAGACATTGATGGCTTTGGTGAGATCGACGAGTAAACATAAGTAGTGTATGGAAATATATTTTATATTGAATTGCAGATTTAAAATACATACAGTATACAGTAAGGGTTCATAATTTCACAGGTTGTAAACCTTTTATTCATTAAACATCCCATATAAAACCCAAGCACTGAATAAGAGTACTAATGTACTCATGCAGGTGCATGTACAGTACATTTGCAGATAGCAATAGGTTGTCACCATCCTTGCATAATTCTTTATATGTATACAATACTTGAAGAAAAGTACATCTTAAACGTAATATACTTCTTTACGTGATGAATATCTTATTGTTACTCCCCTATTACGCAAACATTATGGTTTGTTCTTTTGCAATTTAAAGAAAAGTACACCGTTATTTCACTGTACTTGCGCGGTACTTTTCATGCTGAATATCTGCACTGTTAACCCTTACTGTAGATTATGCAGTAAATAACTGTAAAATAGCCAGTGTTTAGCTGTAATGAAAAGAAACAGTATTTTACTGTAAAAGGAGCAGGATTTGTATGAAATTCTGTAGTGCAAAGAATAAATTACAGTAATTTACTCTATGTACCATTACAGATATTTACTGTGATAATAAATGGTAAATTACTGTTCAACCATTACTGCCCCATCTACTCTGATGCTTTATGTTGCTATTTTATATTTATTTTATCTCTGTGTTTTCTTTGGTTCCTTTTATGTTTTTAACATTGAGTATCAGGAGTCAACCAATGCCACAGAGCTTATTAAAAGGTAAGTGTAAGATATGGACGAAATGCATTTAAAGGCAAAAATATTCACACAGAGCAAAGAAATTGTCACAATAATTTTTATAACTTTGTTTACTTTTTCTATAATTAATCTAATTTAATTGCCTAGTTTGACCTATAGTTAAGATTTTAAATCGCACTTTCAACTGAATATTAGTATTTTGCTAAATAACTAGTAAAAATGTGTTATTTAAAAAATATATATATCTTAAACAACACGCATATACATTTTTGCAGAGACTCAGTGAATTTGCCTGTAAAACTGGCAAGTAAAAGTGCCATTAACAGTATAAAGGCTTTCCTAAATAAATGTATAAATCATGATATTTGTTGTGTTTTTTATTATTACTACAGATTTGGAACAACATGAGAATTAGATTATTTATTTATTTATTTTTTCTATGGATGAAGTTTATATTATAGTATATTTTTATTGTTTTTATTAAACAATATGTGCATAACTGTGATAAATGTAGGCAGTTGCTTTGAAAATATGCTATGTACCAGGGGTGTCAAACTCCTGGAAGGCCACAGCCTAGTAGAATTTAGTTCCAGCCCTGCTTCAACACACTACCTTTACATTTAGTTTGATCAGGTGTGTTTAATTAGAGCCAGGTGTTTGATTTGTTTACTGCTAAGTGTGCTCTATTCTCTGTCCATCAATTCAGATGTTGAGTCTGATATGTTTTAGGCTTTAAATAAGAATCTAAAATGAGTAAGTAAAATGTGTTAAAATGTTTTTGAGGATTTATAAAATAAGGCTGTGTTTTAAGTTATATTGTTGTTATCTTGAACTGTGTACTTGAAAGCTACATTGTTAGCTAGTTAGCCTCTCCTCATATAACTTCTTACATTACTTTTGTTTAAGTATATGTATTTATTGGATATTGCATACTGCCATAATGTACAGATGCTAACAGTTGTATGTATCTTTCTGGCAACTAAGCCAAAATTAAATTCCATCATCTCAGTAAGGTAACATATGCATATCATCACAGGGAATCACAAAAACATGATACACATAGCCATCCACACACAAAAGCTCCACTGTCAGGTCCCAGGTTGTGAGTTTGTTGCTAAGTATTTTTCAGAGCTGTGTTTTCATCTATGAATTTATATTTGAAACAATAAAAAAGTTTGTTGTCATGAGATAATTATAACAATAAAAGATTGGATCCTTTGGTTTTTCGGTGTTGCCAACTTTATTTTTGTTTTCTATAATTATTTTAACCTTTTTTTTTTTTTTTTTTTTTTGCATGGTCAGCATTGAGGAGAGAGTAACACATTTCACTGCAGCACTTTGTGTGTGTGTGTTTATTGGATATGTGATTGTGATAAATGTTAGCAGTTGCTTTAAAAGTATGCTATATATCAGGGGTGCTTAATCCTGTTCCTGGAGATCTACCTTCCTGCAGATTTCAGTTGCTATCCATATCAAACACACCTAAACCAATGAATTAGGACCTGAACACCACGTGATAATTACAGGCAGGTGTGTTTGATATGGGTAGCAACTGAAATCTGCGGGAACGTAGATCTCCAGGAACAGGATTAAGCACCCCTGCTATATACCATGGGGTCAAACTCCAAGTTACTGGAGAACTGCAGGGCAGCAGAGTTTAGTTCCCACCCTGCTTCAACATTACCTGTAGATTTCTAACGAGCCTTAATTAGTTTTATCAGGTGTGTTTAATTAGAGTTACAGCTTAAAGTCCCGGTCACACTGAACTTTTCTCCCTATAGACTTCCATTCATATGCATGTGAATGCTGCAGACCTGAAATGCATGCGACAAATTTTACAGTTTGCAGCATTGGAAAGTTCAAGTTTGGAGAACTCTGAACTGCGAAATCACATCATGTGATTGCTTGAGACAAATCAAAGATCAAACCATGACCTCTCTAAACAAAAATTATGGCCCAGTTGCTTGCTTTTTCAATCTCTAAATATTTTGTTTAATCCCACTCCTTTTCGCAGAGCCATGTGACAGAATTTTGCATGCTTAAACGTTAATTTGACTGCAGCCTTGCTGTGCAGACCTGTGGCTCTCAGTAATATGTAAGATGATATTTATGTCTGCTGATTTCTTAATTTTGTTATACATTTTCTGTTTTATATTTGTTTGCTGCCAAAACAATAAAATAAATTTGTCAGAATTTACAACTTAATTAATTTAAAGAATTAATAACAGGTAAGAATACTAATAAATTTTAGTAACACCTTGACATACTATTGTGTATGCAGTATAATGCTGTGAGTTGTAACACTACAGTACAGTTATTAACTGTACACAGTTTCCAGTTAGTTACCACTACTGCTCTATTACAGTAATTAACTGGCAACACTGTTGCCAGCTACTCACTGCAATGGTACGGTTACAGTAAACAACTGGCAACACTGTTGCCAGCCACTCACTGTAATGGTTCAGTTTCAGTAATTAACTGGCAACACTGTTGCCAGTTACTTACTGTAACCAAACTTTTACAGTGAGTAGCTGGCAACAGTGTTGCCAGTGTTCTACTGTAAAAAAGCCTGGTAAGGTCTAACAGTGTGGTTGTTATCCCCTTATTACCCAAGCATTACAGTTTGTTCCCTTATACCTACGTAAACGTTATTTATACTTACACTATACGTACAGAAAAGTACATCGTTATCTTACTGTACTTACGCGATAATTTTCGTGATGAACATCTGGTTGTTACCCCCTTTTTACCCAAGCATTACGGTTTGTTCCCTTATACCTACACATACGTTCATTATACTTACACAGTACGTACAGAAAAGTACACTGTAATTTCACTGTACTTACGCGGTACGTTGTGGGTTGTAAAAGAAAGCGTTACCCAAAAAACACACCCCTGCTCATATTCAGGGCTTTAAGCAAAATGTTGTGTCTGCACACAGTCACTTCCAACCCCTCCTCATCCAATTTACCACTAGACTTACTTGAAGTCTCTCTGGCAGCAGCCCAAGTGGATTTTCCACATGTGCCTTTTCCTTTTACCTGTATTAAAGAAAACATATCAATAGTATTAAGTGAAATATTTATATTTGTTAAATAACCAATTTAATCATAAAATTATAGAAGCATACTGAGCTGGTATTTTGTTGAATGAAATTGACAAAATTGGTCACATTCTCATCCTTGGCAATAAAAACTCCATTGAAAAAAGGCTGTTCTTCGACTCTATTAATAACATGAAAAAATGTATACGGTCAGCATAAACTAATATGCATAATCCATTTGCATTTATTACTGTGAGTAGTATGCTCTTACTCTCTGGCTTTGTTAAACCGATACAGTTTGCGGTTTCCTCTGCAGACACCGCAACAGCATTTGGGATACATGTGTAACAGGTATGAAAATTATAATTCGCTTCAAGTATAGAATTACACAAAATATGTATTTTATCTAATGTGTTAAGTGTACCTGAGGTGTTTGTTAGTGTATCTTTTCCTTTAAATTTCTAAGGGAGCTCACGCTGTTTAATTTCTTGTTTTGCACCCGCCTCTTCCCTTTCTACACTGACTACGCATGGGAGAGGTATGTTTTGTCACTTTGTTAATATTGTTTGGAGTTTTGTTCTATCTCTCTCTCTCTCCATCTCACCCTTTCTGCACTGACTACGTATGGGAGAGAAAAGCTGTAAGGGCGAAGACACACCGTAAGAGCTGTGGTTTCTGTTTATTCTCAGTAAGGAGCCGTCACAACTGCAGATCTCCGACTGGTTATTCCTTCATAAAACTAAGAAAACACAACGCAGAACCGGTTACACATGCAGGACACGAGAAGTGATCAATTGCACTGAGCTTCTCTTTTTCATTGGGGGGTGGGGGTTGGGGGGGGAGACAATGGAGCTAAAGAGCTGTTTTTTTTTCTTAACATTTAAAGCATTATTTAAAGCATTTTTACCCGTCCAAAGTTCTGTGACGTTTGCTCTAACATCTTTATAAATGCTTGTCGTGATAGGCCTGGTGCAGCAACTTTAAACAGCTCAAAAGAAGTGAACAGGTCAACCTGATATATTGTTTGAAATGTTACAGAGCCTGGCCAGTAACCACTTCGGGTAAGGTCCAGCAGCCCAGGTGTCCATGATTTGTGGCATGTGTTGCAGCACCTCATAGGCAAAGAGAAGTCATAGCGACCTACAATCAAATCAAATAACATAGAAATTGCAGACACCAGTGTCTACTCTGTTTGCCATGAACCACGAAAATAAGTGCTTTTAAAAATTCATCGTCAAATTTGAGAAAACACATTAAAGAAAGACTCTATTTAATGTTATTTAATGTGAATTTAATACAGTTACCCATATGGCAAAAACCACTGCGACATGACATAACTATTTTAGCTTAATTTTTTTGGGCCAACGTGAATTAATCTATCACTGAAATTATACATTTTGCATCAGGTGCATTTAGCTGTGAGTTTGTGATGTATTTTTCATTGAATTTATATGTAGTATAATTTGAAAAATAACACTGATCCTCTTTGTTTAATTTTAATGCAGAGAAGACATCATAACTGAAAAACTACTCAAAGTAAAGTATTGCCCCCCCTCTGAGACTGAGAGGTGAATCACGTGAAAGATTTTTTTAACGTTTTACTTTAAAAAAAAATTGTTTTTTTTAATTGTTTGTCTTTTTTGAACATTTGAGTTTGACTAAGACTTTTTTTTTCTTTTCTATTTTGTTCTACCGTATAGAAACATTGAGGTGTTTAATTTAATTTCTATATTATTAGGAAATAAAATCTTTCTTGGTGTTCTTTGAGCCTACATTCAGAATGAGTAAAATACTCAAGTTCTTTTTAAAATCGGATACTTTAATACTTTTACTCAAGTCTTATTGGAATAGGTGACTTGTAACTTGTAATGGAGTAATTTTTACAGTAAGGTATCTGTACTTTTACTCAAGTATGGTTTTCAGGTACTTTTTACACCTCTGGTCGTTAGGCAACAACTAAATCCGCTGGGCATTTTGCGAGAGTGTTGCTGTTGATATTAATATAACTTTATTTTCAGGCTCATTGTTCACATTAACACACTCATAACAACATGACTTGGAATAACAAATACTAAGATTCTTCTTGCGTTTTATCTTACAGTTTTATACTGATTGATATGAGCATATTAATACAGCTCAAACGAGATTGTTGTGAATTTGACTCAAATTATATAATAAATGCTGGTTTAATGTGTTAATTTTTGTCATACAATATATTTCCATGCATACATCCACTTTAAAAAGTTGTTTTATCAAAAATTTGTGGGTTTATCAAGTTTTATGATGATTGATCAGTATATTCTAAAAGCAGTGCAAATTAGATTATTGTAAATTTGACTGAATAGTAAACTTTAAGAATTATTTTTAATGTGTTAATATGACATTTTTTTTCTATCAGATAATATCTTTTCTATTATCCACTGTAAAAAAATGATTACATTATTATTATATTTTATAAGGGATTATTTTTTGTCTCATGATGATTGATGGGTAATGATAAATAGCACTGCAAATTCATTTGACTTGTAAATTTGACTCAATAATAAGTATATATTTTTAAAAAATCAGTTTTGTGTTAATGTGACATGTTTCTGTTCAATATTCACATGTTCTATGCATACTGCCACTATAAATAAAATATATTTTTTGAAGGATTTGACACGTGGCCCTGCACTTGGTATGCAAAACTTGATGTGGCCCTCAGGTCTAAAAGTTTGCCCACCACTGATCTATCCTATGCTACATTCCCGTATCTCTAAGGAAGTTTAAAATAGCCTTGCTAATTTCCCAATTTTTTTCCAACTGCCCCAATAATCTTTTCAAGCTTCATTCTTGTTCTAATTTATACATTCTTTCCGTCAATATTTTCCTTTCTGTTTTATATTTATTACATTTCATAAGGAAATGCTCTACATTTTCTGTTTATATTACAATCATCACATTTATCTGATAGACTTTTCCCCATTAAAGCAAGAGTGGGTTTTAAACACCAGTATCTGTCATAATCTTAGTCTAGGTATTATCACTTCTTCCCCTCTGCATTTGCCTTTGCAAATCAGCATTGTCTTACCTTTCATGTCTAGCCAGTCTGTCACTGCAGCGCAAGCAACTTTCGAACACGCCACGTGATTTGGGACTTCGTGTATCTCATTGGCTAGAAAGAGAAATACTGGAAACGGCCAATTACAAACAGACACAAAGCACACCACCAACATTCCGTCTTTTTCTACTCAAGCCTGTTTATACGATCACACAACCGTTTATATCATTACAAACCAACATCGTAGCTTTAAAAAAGGTTTCAACTTTAACGTTTATTATAAAGACGTTTAGATGTTTATGAAGGTTTCTTTAATTTTTCATTCATTTTAGCCTGTTTTGGCTCACACCATGTTAGGGTTTTTTTTGCCTTCTTTTAATGCTCAGTTCGTGATTTTGACACACTTGCGAAGTTTGTATTTATAAAATATATGTTTACACATTAAGTAGATTGTATATCTATTGTTGTTCGTTTGTAATGCCTGGTTATGTTTGTCATTAAATCAAATAACCACATATTTCACCCCCAGCAGTGAAATAGGTTTCATCCGCGTGACCCGGAAGTTCTCTCAGCTGGGTGACGCTGCATTAGGCGACATGGCTAATCTCTGTGAGTACAATTTATGCTTGTTTTAACGCTATTTGTTATCAGATTAGTGTACATCAAATCACTTTAAGAGCAAACAGTTATTGGTTGATGACATGTTTAGTTGCTTTACTGAATGTAACGTTAGTTTCATAGATTTCGTCTTAATCAGTTCTTGCAGCCAGCTCTCAACAGCCCGTCTGTAACTGTTACTTTAATTCATTACGCATGATTGTTATTTTATTTTTTTAAGTTTACGTATGTGCGTTATATTTATCCAAACTGGTCCGTGTACGGTCCGTGTATCATCCGTTCATTTGATTATTCCTTTTTTTACGGAAAACGAAACATCAGAAAAACGATACATATTTCGTTTTTCTGTTTATTCTGTAGGCAGAAAAAACGGAAACTCATCTGTTATTCTGCTAATTAACTTAAAACGAAATATTAAAACAAACACAAAACCAAAACGAAATAATGAGTCAAAAAATGGTCCGTGTACGGTCCGTGTACGTTTTGTTCATTTGTTTTCCATTTTCAAACGGGATAAAGGAAATGGAGAAAACGGCCGTTTTTCCGTTTTTCTTTTGCTCACGAGAAAACGGAAAAATGAGATTTTGGCTGGATTTTCGTTTTTTGGTTTAGGGTAGGAAAACGGATAAACGACTTTAAAATTCATCTTACACATGTAGGCGGTGCTGAAACGCCCACTTTCCTCTAATTGGTCAACCAAATCTGCGCTCGTGACGTCACCCACACTGGACCATGCATGGGGCTATAATAAATGGTACCATTTGTTTCTATTGGATTTTTTCCTATTTTAATTTAATATATGCCTTTAGCCTATTGTAAATATTTATTTGATAATTAATACTTTTTTATTGCAACGTCAAAGTAGGCCTGTCTTATTATTATTATTTTTTGGTTGTATTTTGTTGTTGTTATTGTTGTTGTTGTTGTTATTGTAGCAGGGACGTAGCCACAGGTGTGGCAGAGTGTGCTGGTGCCACCCAAAGTGGCATCTTGCACCTGAAAATAGATGCCTTCGCACTAAGCGCTCGCAAAAAACTTGCACAGGCAAAAGTAATGATGAATGTGTTGGAAGAAAAAAAACATTCTAATAATTTGTTAATAAAATAGTGCAACATTATTCTCAGTCAGTGTAGGATGAAAAAAAAATAAGAGATCGCCAGCATTTCAAGGTTTTATTTTCAATTCATTGCTGTCACGCGCTATATTTCACGAAGGCTGTATAAGACTGAAAGCGCATCTTGCTTATTTTCTCTATTTTACAAAAGTGTTGTTTGTTAATATATTGTTGTTAATATATATATATATATATATATATATATATATATATATATATATATATATATATATATATATATATATATATATATATATGGTGTACATATATTTCCATACAGTCCAGGTGAAGGATGCAGAACACAGAAACTCGTTGAGAATGGAGATGCATGTTAGATGTTTTATATCCCTTTAGATATTGTAAATAAACAACAAGTTTTTATAGAGATTGTGTCATGTCTTTTCTTTGACGCACGTGCTGAACAGCCCAGAAAAGGCGCCTTTATTTAGCCTGTAGCCTAAATAATAGTTTAGATTTTATAACATATAATGTTCCATTACTTTAAATGTATAATGTTTTTTTAATATTTATGGATTATATAAAATATATAGTTTATATAAATGCGCTCTGATCATTCAAGGATCATAATGCGTTGCATATTCTTCTTATTCTTTATTAGGCTTGATCCGTAAATTGTGTATTTTATAAACTGATCGTTTATAAGGACTAAGCTATTAATAACTGTAATTCCTCGAATGGAATAGTCTTGATTAAAGAAAAAGAGAACTTAATTCGACATATGCATATAGTGCGCTTATTTCTGCGCGCATCGCGCGCTTTACTGAATTACCTTTTTTATTTTTTATGCACTATAAATGCATCTGGCAGCACCGAAAAGAGCAAATGCCAAGTTATTAGCGCAGCGCACATACAACTAGCTCGTCTGTTCTGAACCAGGGGTTTTCAAACTATTCATTGCACACCGATCCCATTGCATTTTATTTAGGATAAACCACTTATTTAAAATTAATTAAAAGGTGCGTACTCTCCAATACACCACTGAATTATAGTGTCATAATATTTAATAATTATAATTAAGATAGACACCTGACCTCCATTTAATAAACAATTTATTTGCCATTCTCTGTTAATTTGAAGTTTAAAGTTTAAATCATTTATGTTAAACTTAAATTATTTAAAAACTTAAAAAGACTTAAATTTAGTCATTTAAGACATTTTAGGTCATAAGTTTATATACATTGACCGTTGCATTTAGTAGGCCTATTCTGGTCTAAATAAGCTTTTTGCATCTTAGGTGTTTACACACACAAATTAAGCAGTTTATACGTACATTTAATGTTACTTTGAAATTACTTTTGATGCAATAAATAATCCTAAATAGTTGAAAGTGTTAACATATTCTTGAAATGTAGTTATTTTATAACTATGAAATTTATTACTAAACAAAGTGAATCATTATGAATTTGCCAAGAAATAATCTACTTTAACACTGTAAAGCAATGCCCCACACTCACTAGAACGGTAGAACCTGGACTGTATGATATGTTCTGTATGTAAAATAGAGAAAATAAGCAAGAGGCGCAGTCTCATGCAGCCTTAGTGAAATATAGCGCGTCACAGCAATGAACTAAAAATAAAACCACCCTTGAAATGCTGGCGATCTTAATTTTTTCAGCTTACACTGACTGAGAATAATGTTGCTCTATTTTATTAACAAATAATTAGAATGTTTTTTTTTTCCCTTCAACACATTCATCATTACTTTTGCCTGTGCAATTTTTTTGCGCGCGCTTGAGCGCTAAGGCATCTATTTTCAGGTGCAAGATGCCACTTTGGGTCGCACCAGCACACTCTGCCACACCTGTGGCTATGTCCCTGCTACAATAATAATAACAACAACAACGACAAAATAATAACAAAAAATAATAATAATAAGACAGGCCTAATTTGACGTTGCAATAAAAAAGTATTAATTATCAAATAAATATTTACAATAGGCTAAAGGCATATATTAAATTAAAATAGGAGAAAATCCAATAGAAACAAATGGTACCATTTATTATAGCCCCATGCAGGGTCCAATGTGTTCTTACAACCATTGAATAACTAAGTAAATAATAATAATAACAATACTAATAATAATAGGCCTAATAATAATAATAATAATAATAATAATAATAATAATAATAATAAATTATTATTTTATACAGAGTAGGCTATTATTTAGGCCTACAATAGCTCTGAAACAATCATGTAAACCAGGTGCTGCTCGGAAATGGCTATCTTTGCTCTGCATCAGGTGCACAGCTGCAAGAAGCTTGTCAGTGAACTATGACCTTATTTTAATGACAAATGTCTAAGAATACTTCTGATTTATGTGTTTATTTAATTTATACATACGCAATGAATGTAAGCCTGCTAACTGTGTGTGGTTCAAATGATAGAATATGTAAACTTTGTTTATATATATATAATTAAATAATAATAATTAAAAGCCTGCGTGTAAGACTTTTATGTTGAGAACGACGAAATATCCAGCCAAAATCTCGTTTTTTCGTTTTCTCGTGAGCAAAAGAAAAACGGAAAAACGTCCGTTTTCTCCATTTCCTTTATTCCGTTTAAAAACGGAAAACAAATGAACAAAACGTACACGGACCTCTTACAACTTGTCTCTAACGTTACACTCGCACTGTGTAAAGTCACTGTCATTTCTATGGCCTGTTTTAATAAGGAGATTCAACCAACCCTGAGTTAAACATTGAGTTTACTTATGCCGAGTTCACACTGCACGGTTTTAGCCTTGAATTACACTTGACAGCTGGAATTAATTAAGATGCTGTGTTCAAACATAGTTCGCTATACATAACGTTACACGTTTTGTTTATCAGGATAATCTTCACAATATATTATATCTTTGACTTTTTGGTAATAAATACAAACGCAGTTTCTGAAGAGCAAACATTATGCTTTAAACAAACTACAATGACTTTAAGACGCTCACCTGCGACCACACCATCACAGTTGTAATATTTTTAAAACGCGTAACTTTTTTTGCTTTATAAATGGTTACCGATTATGATAATAAGCCATATTTGAACAAGTGTATCGCACGCGTGCCTATACCATCGCAACACCACACTTCTCTGAGGAGTGAATCCTAACTATGGTCAATTAAAAAAAAAAAAAAAAACATATTTATATATATATGGAATGAGAAACAATCTTTAAGATACTTTATTGTCACAAAATGCAGTGAAAAGCAGTTCCCACAGTGCATTCATATAGTCCTATGAAAAAAAAAAACCTGACATGTCTAAATAAACAAACATTTTATCTGTCTAGTTTTCAATTAGGTCTGCTAAATGACGTCTTGGGGGCGGGTACTTTAATTTTCACTGCTAATGACCCCACCTTTGCTGGTGTTCAAACCAAAAGACCGGTGCGGTTTTTAGGGATGCACGATATATCGCCGCCTATATCGTTATCGGCCGATAAACGCTTTTTTTAAGATTATCGTTATCAATCCGATGTCATAATTAAGCCGATATATTTAAGCCGATAAATTAGGTAATTGAACAGACCTGCGTGCCGCACTCATGTTCAGACTTGTCCAGTGCACCATAATGGATCTCTCCTCACACTATTTATTCCTTCAAAGTCCGTCCTTTCTTCACGTGGCATTTCTGTGCGTTAATAACTCAGTAAGTAACCACGTTCCTTATCATTGTAGATATGCTTGATTGAGTGTCATTGTGTATTTTGCTTTAAATTACCTCAGGAAAAATATTACATGTGTAAACCTTTCCTGCTCCGTCTCTTTGTTGTGTTAGAGATATCAGGGGAGATTCACTTGTTACTCCAGGGCCGAATAATATTAGTTTCAGGGTGAACTCTTTTTGTTGCAGCTGGTAAATGA